GCCGGGGAGACGGGGGTGGCACCCCTGTAACCTCTACCGCAGTATCTGTTCTTAAGCCAAAATAGAAGTCACGTGCAGTTCTTCGAGAGGCCGCTGCGGGAGAAATGGTGGCGTTGTGTTCGTCATTAGCTCGGTGCTCGGAGACAGATTGGGGCCACTTTTTCAAAGCTGTCTCTATGGGAGTTCCCGAACTGAGTGTTTTAGTAACGTTGGTTTAAACATTGGAGGCCATTTTGCGATCCCCAGGGTCTCGTCATCGAAAAGCTCGATGGCGAAACCCTGCGGATCGAACTGCTGACAACGCCAACAATATGATCCCCACAGCTTCGTCATCGAGTTTTGCGAAGGAGGGACTGAAAGAAAACATTTGCATTTATCCTCGAAATTATGCGGCGACGAAGAAGCTTTTTGGTCGGTGGCATTGAGTTTTAGCATAATTGGGTTACATTTCAGCCAGTAAGTTTGTTTCAAGTAAGAAATATTCCTGCTCAACATCGTAGCACTTAACTCAAGTTGAGGATCTCTAGAGGCCTGCGCGGATAACAGTGTGACCATCCGCATCCGATCAGCATCCGCAGATTTTGTATCCGCAAAATTCGGAACCGCATCCGACTCTCAATCCACGCATGCATTTTACATCATAAAATCAAGCATAAATAAAAATTAAAAAAAAAAAGTGAAAGCCGTTTACAACTCCCTGTAACGCCGAATTTGAGCGCAGCTCTTGAGGAGGAGGAGGGAAGGATACTGGGGGGAGGATATATTCCTCCTCCTCCCTCGTGATCCTGCCAGCTGCTTCTCCTCCCCTCATCCTCCTCCTCCACCCCCTCCTTCTCCTTCACCTCCTCCTCATCCTTGCTGGGGGGTTAAGTGACCTGGGGGGGTGACCTTACGGTTACGCCGACGGCGATGCCGCTCAAGCCGGAAACGGGCGCCAATGAAAGACGTTTACAAATCTTTGTAACGCAAAATTAAAGAGCAGCTCTTGACGAGGAAGAGGAGAGGGGACAGAAGGGAGGGTATGCCCCCTCCCCTCCTCCTTTCTCCCCTTCCTCTTCCTCCTGCTCCTCATCCGTACCTTCCCCTCCTCCCATGTACCCTGCCCTCCTCCCAGTTTCCCTGCTATATTAAGCTGAAAAACTGACGCCACGTGACCTCCACATCAATTTAATTCCCCGCTAAATTTGGCGGGGAATGGAATGTCTGCTCAGGTTACATGACGTCAATTTTCCCTTTAAATCTAGCGGAGACACTGGTTTTGTTCGTAGGTGACGTGACACCAAGTTATGTGACGTCATTTTCCCCGCTAACTTTAGCGGGGAAACTGAATTGTTGCTGAAGTCATGTGACATAAATTTTCCCACTAAATTTAGCGGGGAACGGAATTGCTGTCCAGGTCACGTAACGTCAATTTTTCCGCTAAATCTGGCGGAGAAACTGAATTTGTTCATAGGTGACATGACACTAAGTCATGTGACTTCATTTTTCCCGCTAAATTTAGGAGGGAAACTAAATTGGTGTTGAGGTCACGTGACGTCAATTTTGCCGCTAAATCTAGAAAAAAACTGAATGTGTTCATAGGTGACATGACGTACACAAAGTCATCTGACGTCAATTCCCCCTAAATTTAGCGGGGAAACTGAATTGTTGTTGAGGTCACGCAACGTCAATATTCCCGCTAAATTTAGCGCGGTTAGGCCAACGCCGACGTCGAAAACATGGAAACGGGCGCCTAAGAGCTGCACTCTAAAAACTCTGGATGGTATTTGCTCGTTACCTTTCTAAAAAGAACTTTATCGTATTCTGTTCATAAAATAAGCGATCAACCTTCCAGAGGATCTTCGCATTGCTCGAAAGATGATCGCAGTTATTAGATCGTCCTTGGGAGTCTGTGACACGCTCAAAAGAAAGGAAATTTATATTTATATTCCTTTTTGTTTTGTAAAACCCACTTCAAGGAGAGACTAATAACATTGTATCACTATTTTTAAACCAAACAATAAAAAAGTGGTAGAGGAAAGGTGCACACTTGTAGCAGCAAAATAATCGTGTATATGTTGTAAGGCACAAGTACACCACTCGTCACAATATTAAATAATGGCAACATCTCCTATCGGTTACAGTTTTAAACACGAACCCTCAACTACATGCTTGGAACTATATACTTAAAAACAAGACACTGGCCAACCAGGGTGATTTCACCCTGGTTGGCAGTGTCTTCACTGCAAACAAGTTGGCAGTGTCAAACAAGACACTGCCAACCACACCTAAACATGCTTGTATCAAGGCCTGGTCACACTGTCCACAAACTCGAATCGGTCGAATCTGGTTCAAAGTTCGAAGGTTCGTCGAACTGGTTCGACCCAGTCGGACCCCGAAAATACAACCTAAAAATGTGGTTTGACAAAAGTTTGCGACATCCTTCGACTTTGTGTACAGTGTGGCCAGACCTTGATGCAAGCATGTCTATGTTTGGAGAATTTTTTTTTATGCAAAGGATTATTTCCATTTTTTAACAATTCTAATCACTAAAGAAGTAGTAATAACTTAATTTTTGTAATAACCAAACAGTGCTGCCCTTAAAGGGCAACTCCGCTTCATTTTTGGTTTTGAAAAAACAATGCAGTCCTCTTCAGTATCGCCTAGGAAGACCACACGTGAAATGTTACGACGCAGTTCTGTCTAAATGTTTCTTAAACGGTCCGGCAAACTTTGCAACTCGCCAAGTTGCCGAGATCGGCTGACTTGAGCGGGCGAATTCAGGCGCAACCAACAGCGCAGTCAAGGCTACGGCATGGGCGGAGCCAACATTGAGCTAAACGTCATTATCATGGCCCCCTTTTGCTTGTTTCCACTTCTCCGGGCGAGCGTAGCGCATGACGTCAGCAACGTTGACTCTCGGCGCTCAGCGGTGTCCACGTGATTGGTGTAACGCGCCTGCGCAGCGCGTTTCTTGAGTGCCGTCCGGCCGCCCGCCGTGGTCCCGCCGTTACCGCCGTCTTCCGTGTCACAACCGCCGTCGTCGTCTCACCGATTGTGATTATTGTCTCTTGGAGTTTCGCCCACACTGCGGACACCACGTGCGCAGACTTATGCCGCAGTTGTGCAAACGTCGTCGAATGCCGTAGACACCAAAACGTGGCGAAGAGTGCGGTGCAGACGACACTCGTGCCTGCCACACGCCCGCCCCAATCCCACCCGTCGTTGGGCCGAGGATCACGTGACATCTCGTACCACGTTATGGCCATGTACTTGGCGACCCGAGGCCAATGTTGCCGGGCGGAGCCGAATTTTCGGTTTCGATTTCCGCTTGTGTTTAAAATTAGATTTAAAAATATATATCCCATTTTTCGCGAAGCAAACAACGTAGTGTGTTTTACTAGGGCTTTTTAATTCGAAATCAATCATTATCCTGAAATCTTCGGAATTGAGCGGAGTTGCCCTTTAATACATCGCTTAGCCATCACCATCCAATCCGAAGCCAACTGGCCAGCCTGTCGTGCATGTGCATAACAGTCGAACCTGAGTCGAACCTTCGTCGAATTTTCCGCAAGAAGGTCGAAAACGTTGAACCTGGTCCAGCTCGAACCTCGACCAAATCGCGACACCTTTAATTCGGACCCGTGGATATCCACATCTGATCCGCAATCCGTCAAATCTTATCCATCTTTACCCAAATCTGCCAGTTTACTGCGGATATCCATGGATAATTCGCGGATGCGCATTAATTGCTCTTAAGATCTAGTTAGGTACGGGTAGAGCGACTAAATAAACTCCACTTCAGAGTAATGACAGCCACCTTGTTGTTTTAAAATCATTTTTGTGCAGTTACCAATGTTACTAGAACCACTCAGTTGGGAAACTGCCATAGAGTCTGCTCTAAAAAAGTGGTCCCAATCTGTCCACCAGGACCGAGCTAATGGCGAACACAACGCCGCCATTTCTCCCGCAGCAGCCACTCGAGGAACTGCACATTACTTCTATTTTGGCTTTCATCGCCATTTTGGCGCCGAAACAGATACAGCGGAAGAGGTTACAGGGGTGCCACCCCCATCTCCCCAGCGGACGCGCCGCGAATTACTACCGAAGTTAAAATGCACCTAGGTCGGGGCGCGCTACCTGAAAGTACCGCTGAGGCATGGTTGTATAAAAACAATATTAATTGTTCCGCAAAACCTTGCAAACTAAAGATTATAGAAACATCATGCGCCCTTCATTTTGTACTAATCTCCAAAAAATTTCATACAAAAAGAGTATTTTCCGATTGTTTTTACGCAAAAACATGCTTTGTAAAAGCTCAAGGTGACCAGAGTACAGACAAATGATAAAGAGTGGCACTGTTGTCGTATTTAGCTCGGTCTCGGTGGACGCCAGCGACCCAAGTTTCGACGGCGAGTTTACTAACTGAGTGTTCTAGTAACGTTGGCAGTTACGTAAAGCTTCAACTGATACTACAAAAGAATGCTTTTCTGGCACTCAAGGAACATTAAAACAATCTGCGACAGAGCAAAATGAAATCACCAGAGGTTTCCGACACCGCATAACGATGTCGGGAAGTCACGTTTTCAAATCAAACTATCGCCAGTCCCATTCATTCTTCACAAGCACTGGCATCGCGTGGAAGAGGATGAAGAATGCAGTGTCGATACTCTAAAGCCGCAGCCACGCCACTAATGCATCATACAAAAGACAGTCAGCAGGCACTGTCTGAGACATGTTTCCTCCTTTTCTGTCGCATTGGTAAAAAAAAACTGTCTGCCGACATATTCAAAGCATACATATATGTCCGAAGCTAACGTGCTTGAAGCGTGTGTGCAGATACTTCTGTGAGCTTGATAAGTGTTGCCCATCTATTGTTACATAGTACAAATACTTATAACTCAGTGCTCACTCATGTGACAACAATTGGAGGCCACAGGAGAGAACAACTCACCTTTCCCTTTGCATTGTGTTCCACAGTACTCTGCCTTTGTCATGACGAGAGTGGCCAAGAAGAGAAGATGGTTGACGCCAATCAGTGCTGGGACGTCAAGGAGGCGATTTACTGGATGAAGGAGCTATCCGACTACCGAATCCACTGGATCGAGGAACCAACGTCGCCGGACGACATTCTGGGTCACGCCACCATTTCGAAGGCGCTCGCTCCGTTGGGCATCGGAGTGGCTACGGGGGAGCAGTGCCAGAACCGGGTCATGTTCAAGCAGTTCCTCCAGGCGGGGGCTCTGCAGTTCTGCCAGATCGACAGCTGTCGCCTCGGAGGCGTCAACGAGAACCTCGCCGTTATCCTCATGGCCGAAAAGTGCAAAGTTCCCGTGTGCCCGCACGCCGGAGGCGTCGGCCTGTGCGAGCTTGTGCAGCACCTTTCCTTCTGGGACTACATTTCTGTGTCTGGCACGATGGACAACAGGGAAATGGAATATGTCAACCAGCTGCACGAGCACTTCAAGACACCAGTGATCGTGAAGAATGGCCGATATATGCCACCCCATGCTCCTGGGTACAGTTGCGAGATGCTCCCTTCGTCCATCGAAAAGTTCAGGTTTCCTGACGGCTCCTTCTGGAAGGAGTCTGCAAACTTTAAGGGTGTCTTTTAGGTCCCTGTCCTAGACACCCTTAGGGCCAGCTGCTTGAGCAAACATTGGTGATTGAAGAACTTGAGAGCATGCCAGCATCGAAGTTCAAGGATAAATTTTCTGGGTTTTGCCATCTGAACAGTGAGAAAACGCTCGAACGAGTACGCTCGAGGTACTGGTGGTCAACACAACGCAAAGACATCGGAGTTTAAGTTCGGGGCTGTGAAGTATGTCAACAAACAAACCAAACCGTCGAACCATACTCGCGAATGGAAAATTAGAAGCCCTTCCGATTCCCTCAACACCATGGGAATGCGTCTCAGGCATCATGTAGTCTCACTGCCCCAAACGCTTATTCGTACAGATTGATCACGCCACTCGCTACCTTCTGGCAAGAGCCACATGCTCGTTGTAGGCAGCAGATGTCATCGAAAGCATCGAACAAGATGTCATTCAACGTTTTGGACCGCCATGCATGTACGTTTCCTACGATGGTCTATTGGCGCTAGGTAGAGATGCCGCAAACTTTTTGCGAACCTGAGGTTTGAAGATCGAACCAAAGGGTTCAAAAGGTACGCAAACTTTCGAGACGTCTAACCTATTACCTAAAAAATTAGACAATTTTTTAATTTTCAAATTTTTCACGCCGGGAAATTTGATTGTTCCAGAACTTCAGATTTTTCACGCCACAAAATTCAACATTTTCAAACTTTCAACGTTTTCTAACTTTCGAACCTGTTGAGTTCAAAAGGTCGACGAACTTCGAACTTCAGAATAAAAAGTTTCACGAAGTTCAAACCAATTTAACCCCCATAGGTTCCAGGCAACAAATAGAAATAACACAAGATGTCAATGTGTGAAGTGGAGTTGAACTCACACTCAGAGTTTTACCGTTAGCAGATTGGTTGCATGAAATCAGGGAGCATGAGCACCACGTGGTTTTGCCTTCTGGCACACTGAGCAGCTACGAGAGTATCGGAGCACATCCTGCCTCATGCCTGGCCAGGTAACAATTTGGGATAACTTTTCGTAAGTTGCTCCCACTGTTGTGTCCTACCAAGGCAGAGTCATGCATGTATTGAATGAAAAGCTTACATAGCTTGCAGGGTATCGCGATCTGGAACGCCAAGCCATCCGGATCGTCGTCGGCCTGGGGGATGTAGCGCAGCAGGACGTCGTCGCTCATCAAGTAGGAGTCAAACTTCTTGTCACTTGGGCGGTCGACTGGACATTTTGCTGCCAGCCAAGCAATCACGCGTTGGCACAGTATGTCATCCAGCTGCGTCTTGTGAAGCTCCTCGCGGATCACCAATGTACCCCACCGTGAATCTGGGGATCCTCGTGCCGTGGCCACGACGGTCACCAAGCCATGGGTATCCTGCGAGTGTCCCTCGGGAAGTGGAGCACGAGAGAGCGCATCAGCAACTTTGTCGGTTGACCCCGGGTGGTACACGATGGAGTTGTCATACTGTTGTAGTGTTAACGCCCAACAAGCAAGACATACAGCTGGATTCTTAAGTCCCCTAAGACATGAGAGCGTTAATTGATCAGATTTAATCTGGAACGTTGCGCCATCTAGGTACATGTTGAAGCGCTTCAAAGCATGAATAATGGCGAGACATTCACATTCTGCGATACTGTAGTTGTGCTCGGCCGGAGTTAGCGTGTGGCTCGTGAAAGCAACCGGCCGAAACACACAGTCACACTCCTGCAGCAAGACAGCACCCAGGACACAGTACAGCTTCCTGGCTTGCTCGAGCCTGGGAGCTGTAAACAAGCGTTGTCAGTAACGGCTTTTGAAAGGGCTGCGAATGCACATTGTTGTTGCCCGGCCCAACACCACTTGACGCCTTTTTTTAGAAGGTGGTAGTGCAGGTGAGATATCCCGGAACAGTGAGGGATGAAATCCCTGTAGAATGCAATAATTCCGAGGTATCTTTGGAGGCTCTTTACGTCACGTGGATTTGGGTATTCCGTTAACGCGCGCAACTTATCTTCGTTGGGGCGGAGCGTGCCATTATCCACAACGAATCCATGGAGGTTAACCTTGGCCACGGCCAACTGAACTTTTCTGGGGTGAATCGTGAGGCCAGCATTACGCATTCACTCAAGTATGATTCAAAGGTGTTTGGTATGATCCTTAATAGTTCTCGAGAAAATAACCACATCATCCATGTATGCCGTGGCAAATTCATACTTCGAGCTGCAGAGTACAACATTTATCAGGCGCTGAAAACTGGCTGGAGAGTTACACAAGCCAATTGGCAGTCAGGTGAACTCAAACAACTCTCTGTGGCAGATGAAAGCAGTTTTTAAAACGTCTGATGAGTGAATCTCAATCTAAGAAACCCGCGACTGCAATCCAGCTTCGTGAACATGGATGCATTACCGAGTGCGTGCCTCACAGAGGAAATGCTGGGGAAAGGGTAGCTGTCTCGTACGGACACATCCCCAAGCCGCCTGTAATTGACACAGAGTCTGGCTGTTCCATCTTTTTTCGAAGCGAGAACAACGGGGAACGCCCGAGGGCTCTTCGACTCACGTACTAAACCGGTGTCGATCAACTCCTCAAGCGCCACGTCTAGGAGTAACCTTTGGCGGACGCTGATGAGTCGAGGGTTGCACCTCTGAGGCCGCGCGTCACTGGTTTCAATGCAGTGCACCAAGATGTCAGTCTTTCCAGGCGTTTCGTAAACATTGGTGAGAAAGACTGCAGGACAGCTTGCAGCTCCTGCTTCTGCTGGCTGCTTGCAGGTCATTTTCGCAACGATTCTTGAACGCCGGCAGACAAGACGTTCGGCACCATTTTCGCAACGATTCTTGAACGCCGGCAGACAAGACGTTCGGCACCATTTTCGCAACGATTCTTGAACGCCGGCAGACAAGACGTTCGGCACCGTGGTGAAGTGGGCTGCAATGGGCGGGTTACGGGTGCAGTCCTCCTGTCTGGTAAACAGAGTCAGCTCGGGTTGTTGTCCCAGCCGGTATATGCCACCAAAAAAGTCAAGTGTCATGTTTTTGCCTGTAATGAAATCTTGGCCCAAAATCACGTGTACCACAAGTCTTGGCAGATAAAGAAATCACTGAAGCCACTTCTTTCCATTAAACAGTCTGCAGCCTTAAGGCTCCTCCAGCTATTATCGCTGCACCAGAAGCTAGCTGCAAACGTGTTTCGCATTCCCGGAGGCTTATCTTTTTTGCTTTGCGGTGTTCAAAAACGAAATCCTCTATAAGCGAGATAGCGGCCCCAGTATCCAAAAGTTTGGCAATGGGAACATCAAGCAGTGAAATCGTCATGCGCGGTTCAATGATGTTAAGCTCATTGGAACATACCAATGGAATCCGTGCCGGAGCCTCACTGCTCCCAGGGACTGTAACGGCCGTCGGCGAGTGGCTGTCTGGTTTCAGCATCGCTGGCCATAGTAGTTTCCTTGGTTGTTCTGGTTCCAGCCCTATGCCACCATCTCGTGCCACCTCTTGTTTGTAGTGTCCAGAAGTCTTGGACATTGGTTTCGGTAATGGCCGGACTGCTTGCACTCGTAACAGCAGTCCAACGACAGTTGCCTGCTTAGGCCACCCACACCGAGGTGTCTTTCGGACTGCCTCCAGTGATCGGATAAGGAACCACTATGGGAGGGCCTCCACCGGGCTTGCAACTGGCTATTGTAGGGAGGGCTTCTTCCGTTGTGGCGGCGGTCAATGCTGCATGGCTGCGGGATTCCGACTGCAGCGTGCCAGTTTTACCCAGCCCTTGCAGGAGCAGACTGACAAAGATGGCTAGCTTGAATGGTGATCTCTGTTGGACCCCAGCTTTCGACAGGCTGTGGCAAACAACCTCCCACATGTCGTGGCGACCCCCTCACGGGCCCCGCTGTGACTTTAGTTAGACAAACATCTGCTTATCCTGCACGGGAGAATGCCATGCATGCCATGCCAACTCTCCTGGTTAACGTGGTGGAGAAAAGAGGTCTCGTTTGGGCAGTCCACTTGCGTGGAGGCCTTGGGGCCCCACCATGCGCATGCCAGTTCGAGCGCATACTTGGCTGGTGGCACCGGCACGTAGTTCCGCTCGGCATGAAGAGCTTCCTCGATGAGGCGGCCACCACGGGTTAGCTCTTCAAGGGTCTCAAAATTGTGGTTGATGAGGTAGACATGGTATCTTGGGTGGCACTGTCTTCTGACCCAAGCTACTCTCTCCGACTCCGAGGTATTTGGATCCACCCTCTTGAAGAGCTTGTGCATGACCCAAACGTACTGGACCAGACTTTCGTTTGGGTGCTGCGTCCTTGCCTCAAGCTCTCGGAGAATCTGAGGAACTATTCTTGAAACCTTGTCTGGAAGTCAGCCAGGCTGGTGAAGGGCCCTGCGACTTCAACCAGCACCTGGCGCTGGCTTGCCCTGCAAGCGGCACGATGCAGTCCACAATGAAGGCTTCTGAGGCACCAGAGGCAAGGTGGTACGTCTGCAGCTCGTCAAGGAAGTCTGCCACGGACTTGACGTCATTGCACCCCGTGTAGACTGGAACAGTCAAGTGTGGCTGGGGCTCTCACAGTGGGGTCTCCTGGTGGCCAGGCATAAAGGCCAGGCACTGCATCACGGAGTCGCACATCTCCGTGACCTTCGTGAGCAGGTTCATTTGTGCCACTGTGGCCATTGCAGCTTCTTACTCCCCTGTGAGCATGGCTGCAAGCATACTACAAAAAAGAATTGCCCCCCAAGAAACCAACACAAGTGTGTAAAACGATTTCCGCGGTCACAAAACAAAGTCAGAAACACGCCAATACAACAAACGCAGACATGACGGAAGCACGGAACGATAGGAAACACGGGGAGTGAGAAAAAGGCTTACCAAAAGAAGAAACCAAGCCCCGTGAAATTCCTGCGAGTGGGTAGCATACCACAATAGGGAGCCATTGTGGTCGGTTTTCCAATGGTTTCAACAAGAGACTACATTTAATTGGACATGGACAAGACGATCAATACATCAACATCGTTACCCAGCGGCACTTAAGCCCAGTCCGTAAATACCTGTACGCCGCCTCTAATCTGCCTCGACATGGCGGCGCGCGTGGGCAGCTTGACTCCGCCGCTACGCGGGAAAGTTCACACCTTGTGCCCCGTAGTCGGACAACATGGCTGGGGAGCCACTAGGGTGCCCACACACTGTGCAACTGCCCAAATCGCGCACCACCCATGGCCGGAACTAAACTCCCTAGTAAATTATTTGAAAGTACTCCTTGCAGAAATTATAGGGATTTCCTTCTTTCTCAAACAGGAAGGAACCAGGGTCATTTTTTTCATTTCTGTCTTCTCGTCGGGCTCTAAAGGGCAACATGTTCGAGAGACAGAGGGGTGAAACGTGTTTATTCTGTGAATGAAAATCTACTGCCTAAACATTGATGAGGGGGCATGATTATGAGCTGCACAAGAGAGACACAGAACGGGCAAGCACCCGGTACATGCGAACACCATACGATTAGCAAGATTACAACAGTCCAGAGGTTTCCGCATGGTAACTATGTACAATGGCAAGTATTCAATGGCCTCTTTTAGAACCTAAATTGACCAAACTAGCAATCAAGAATGCAACTTCACATATGCAAAACAGTCATCACAATTGTAAATTTATGCATTTTACCATCTTTTAGGTTATAAGCCACAAACCAGGGTTTTTAGATTGTTATATGACAAACATTTGTAGATCAATCGTAGTAATTTGGTGAACACATCAAGGTCTAAAACCCTCCTGTTGCATTTTATATCAATCGAGTCTTCGTTCGGTTGCTTCCAGTTTGTCCCGCTAGCTGGAACAAGGCAGAAGTTTGCTAAAACAATCCCAGGCCTCAAAGGATGAAAGGAGGCATGCTTATGCTCCGACATGCATTGCCAGAGGAACCTTCACCCACAAGAGGCACGACACATTCGACTCCAGCTTGGCAAGTACGAACTTGAGTCACATACTTGCGGAAACGGGCAATTAAAGTCAAAGCTTAGAGATCCATTCAAGACAAAAAAACGGGGTCTAGAGAAGAAAAAAATGTGCAATGTGGCCAAGGGCAATTTAACGTGTCTCCACACAACAGTGGTAAAGCGTTCCATCAAACTTCCTGCCAGTCTCCAAACTTTCCATGGGCTTGTGCCAGGAAATGACAAATAATAGTAAATAAAAAGGAACGATGCAAGTTCTATTAACAATGTCCTTTGAACCTGCAGACCGAGAAACTAGAGGGGGCTTCCAATGACCCCAACAGGACCGTCCAACTGATGTAGGTCAACTCCGCGGACGACAGCAGGCACCCCAGCCCAGGTTCAGGGGCGCAAGGTAGTGAAAGTGACGTCAGATGAGCCCCCTCAGTTTCTTGTACTCCTCTAGGTTCAACGAACGTTTCGGCACAGCCGGCCGGGCTCCCGCCGAGGGCCTCACGACGGCAGACGGTGTCGTCGACGAAGAGATGTCCAGGTCGATCTTGATGTCGAAATCATGCGCCGAAAACATGTCCTGGTCACTGCGGTGCTGTGGCTCCTGGAGCTTGGTAGTCGCCGCCGGCGTGCCCACCACGACCCCCTCAGCCTTCTCTTCTGCAGCCGGTAGGGCCGCCGGCTTGACCTCCGCGGTCCTCGTCTTGGTGACCAGACTAGGAGCGCACTTGCGCCTCGTGAAGGGATCGTCCGCCTTCTCCTTGTTCAGCTTGGCCTCTTCCAGTATGGCCCGCTCGATCTCCACGATGTTCTTGAGCCGGTTGCGCTCATTGATGTAGCTGATGGCGCTGATGGTGCTCGTCCGCTGCTTGTCCAACTCGCGAGCTCGCTCCTCAAGCTGTTCCAGCTCCCCGGAGAGCTTGAGCGCCTCCTCGTGGTTGCCCGTCTGCTCAGCCATCTCCTTCTGCTTCATGAGCTGCGTCTTACGCACCGCATAGTTGTGCGGGTTGCGCCGGAAGCGCTGCTTCTCCGTTACTATCGTTTCCACGTCAGACTCCTTGTACTGGTAGTTGAGGGCTTCCTGGACGTCCTTGGCCTTGCGGGCCACCTCTTCCGCCGTGGGGAACGTGACCCCCTCGAGGTTCATCACCTCCTTCCACTTGCAGAACTCCGAGTCGGTGAAGTCCTGGTTGGAGACGAACTCGAGCCGGAAGACGCGCTCCTGCTTGCCGTGCTTGAGGCGCAGGCCCTTGTTAGTGCGCGAGCGTCCCAGTGCATACACCTTAGCTGTCTCCACCACGTCCGTGATCTGAGCCACGCGGTAGACGGCCCGGCCGTTGTGAGACCCGATGCCAATGCGCACAAAGCAGCCTACCACCGTCTTGGCAAAGAAGGGCGCATGGACCCAGCGCTCTAGCTTGTGCCGGGACAGCCGGATGCGCGACAGCTCCTCCTTGCTGGCGGCTGCCTTGGGCTTTGCCTCCTCTTCATCCTCGTCCGAAGAAGAGGACGACGAAGACGAGCGGCGGCGATCCGACGCGTCGCCCCGGTCCTCATGGTCGTCATCACCATCCCTGTCGGAGCCGTCGTCGTCATCATCGTCCGAGTATATGTCGGACGCCTTGAGCTTGCGCGACGTCTGGGCCAGGGCCTCCTCTTCCTCGGCAGACTTCTTGCGCTCCTCCTCCTCCTTCTGGAGCTGCTCCTGGAGCTGCTTGCGCTTCTTCTCGCGCTCTGCCTTGAGGTCCTTGATAGCCTGAGCCTTCTTGTCCAGTTTGTCCTTGCGCTCCTCCACCATCCGCCGGCGCTCCTTGCTCCGCGAGCTGGCCGACGCCCCGCCCTCGGCGCCGCCCTTGCCGCTCGCCCCGCCTTCTTCCTTCTTGGCCTTGCGCTTCTGCTCGTTGCGCTTGGCCAGCCGCAGCTTCTTCTCGATTTCGAAACGGGTTTTGAGCACCTCGCGCTTCTCGATCCGGTTGAAGAGCTCCTGCTCGCGCTCCTTCTCTGTCATCTGGGCGAGGCGGGCCTGGTCCTCCTCGTCACCCATTAGGTTCTCGTCGTAGCCGTCATTGAACTCTTCGTCCTCGGCGTCATCGTCACCCTCCTCGTCTTCATCGCCGCTGCCGGCCGCCGGCGACGACTCGCCTCCCGAGTCCGACACCTCGCCCTCTTCGGGCCCGGAGGACGAGGATGCCCCGCTCCCCTTGGTCTCACCTTCGCTGCCCGATGCCTTGCGGACAGCCTTCTTGGGGGACTTGGCCTTGCGCGCGGCTCCTCCCTTGGCGCCCTTGCCATCCACCGTCCAGTCATCGTCGCTCTCCGACGTCTCGGAGTCACTGTACGCGGCCGTCGGCTTGCTGGGCTCTTCCGACGGCTGTCTCGGTGGCGGACTCTCCGACTCTGACCGTTTCTTCTTGGCCAGCAGCAGGAGTTCCCCGTCCAGGTCGTCGGGGCTGTCACTGTCCCCGCTGCTCGACTCCAGCACGACCCGGTTCTTCTTGCGCTTCACCATGACGGAAATCGGGGAGGCACAACCCACTCACCGGCGACGCTTGGGGGCTTGGTCCTCCGAGACCGATTCAGTTCGGACCTCGACCACGGACTCGGCGGCTTTCACGCGGCCCACAACGTGCGCAACAAACACGGGCCGCTTACATCCACCATGATGGCCACTCCATAAGCTGCGCTTGTGCCCGGCGCGAATGCGACGCCGGCAAAATGCTTTCTTTCTTTTGCGAATAATTGATTTTTAAGCCATATAACATTGTTATCCTCTTTACGCGTCCTAATTAGTTTAAAATTTTAATATTTTCAGGCGGAGTGTATTATTGCACATTTTGTGACGTTTTCGCAACAACTTCCGCAGCGAGTCGTATCGCCTTTTCTCGGGTGTGACTTGTCATGGGACCTCATCTGTCTCTCTCTGGCCGCTGGTAGACCCGTAGAGCTTCGGTCTTTTAAAGTTTTGGGGGGCAGTCCGTTACCAAATATCCCGCCTAGCCATGGGACTTCTCGCCAATGCCCAATACACCGTCTACAGCATAACCAGCTTCATCGTACTGTGCATCGGTGAGTCCAGCGCCCCTTTTCCGCGGCAATACAGCTGCTTTGCGGCATCGCCGTATCGCCTCCGTTTCCGATACCACTGATGTTCCACCCGAATCTGCCCGCTTTTAAAATAATTACTCTTTCTTTCCGTCTAGGTGTCTTCTACATACTATCTGGCAAGGGACAGCGAATTGATTTCGGATGGTAAGTTTGGTTCGTGGCCTGACTGATTTCGCTCTTCGCACGCGATGCTGTTTGCACGGGACGTTTTTCAACCCGCACACTAAAGTTGTCGTCCCCAACTCTCCAATCATCTCGATATATTCCGTTACCTACGATGGATCCTAAGAAGTGAATGAGAGTTGAGTTAGGTGATCCGCGCTAGCAGAGACTACTCGGCGGTGACCGTCGTAACAGTGCCGAATGTGAACCCCAGAAACCTCAAAACCAGCTTATGCGATATACCTGCAGACGTAATTTTGTTTTAAGGGCGTATTTTGTTAATCTCGACAATGATCCCAAATTCGACAGGGTGCTTGAATTTAAAATAAAACCGAGCTGCTTCAGTCGCGCGCTTGCTACAATATTTTATGAGTCAAATTTACGAAGTTCTCTGTTGCCTCACGATGCGGGCCGTCGAGGCTCTGCAGGTATCCCGGAGATTTTAGCGAGTGCTCGAACCGCGATTCCAGATTTGTCGACGCCCACCGAGGGGTGCGCTCTGCTCGCTGGGAACTGTTAGTGTCATAAGATAGGTGGCGGAGCCGTCGCCCGTTTTCAAACGGTTCAAACAAAAAAAAACAAAAAAAAAACATATGCATCCATCCAACCGATCAGTGTTCCGTGATGTGTTCACTGGCTGCTTTCGTCCTTCCTCCACGCTACAAACTGGGTAAGATCACAACCATTCAGTGACGAAGTCATGTTCCTATGCGTAGTTGATCTGCCGTTTCGATGACTTAATGCAACCATCACGATTTTTCGCGCCAATGTTTGCAGAAACATTTAACGTAAACTGAAGTCTATGTGAGTATTCAAGCGAGCTGGTTGAGAACAGGCATCGTAGCTCTGGGATGTGGGGAGGGACACAGCTTTCTTTCCAATTTTATTGCACGGCTAAAATTGTACCATGAAAACTACCAGTAGACATAGTTTTCACTGACGTCACTGCCGGGGCTTATGGGATCTGCCGCCGCCATCACCAGGTACTGATATAGTTTCGGTTTCAGGCTGCCACCGGCAGTACTGGCCGCTGCTGCATCGTTTTGAATGCTCATTTCTTTCTTTCGTGTTATGTGCACTTGCGTTCACAGTGGTGCAGTACTGCCAATGTGCGCAATGTTTGGTTGCTGCAGCAGCAGCAAGTCCTCCGCAAACTAGAGTAACACAATGCCAAATAGAAGGCTGTCTTGTTTGCTGAAAGTGATAGGCAGTTTGGGTGCACAAAACTGCTGTTCGGGAAACACCGGAGCTTCTGACTTGCTCGCACACATAAGAAGGATTTGAAGAGCCTTGACAGTGACCGTGTTTGTGATTGTTGCTTCATTACCTCGGTAAGGAATATGTGTTTTATCCGTAATACATGGATTGCTAAAACCTTGCATTCATACTCTGTGCGCTTTGCCACTGTGACTAAGGCAGCTTTAGTGTCTGGTAGTGTCATGCTGCATGCTGCTCTTTGCTTTTACCTTTGTCGCCGAGCTTCCTTATCTCTGTGGTGTTCGTTGCCCACTTGTGTTCGTACTGCTTTGATGCTGCAACTTTTAATGTTTCAAGTACAGGCACATCTTTCGATGTACAGGCGAACCTTCGACTCTCATGGACGATACAAACCCTGACTGGGTGCCCACCCTGCGTCTCGGCCACGAACTACAAGCCTCGCCAGTTTGCATAATGCATTTTATGAATCTTTTGAGTTAAAATGTTCAGTTCAGCGCTCCTGCAATGCATGTGGATGCTGTGACATACACACGATACGCACACAGTAGCAATGTAGTCGAGCGGCGGCGTTTGCTTCTCAGTACCTGGTGATGGCAGTCATACGTATAGTGGAACTTGTGAATGTAAGTCATCAGTTCTTGGGTGATAAAATGTAAAATGAAGCACTAACATCTATGAGTAAAAAAAAAAAAATAATTAGTATTCTGGGTTTTCAGATTGGCTGCATTGAAAGGGGTGCTATTACTTGGAAGGGCACACCTTTCCGTGCTCCTGTGTATGTGTGTTGCTGTTAAAAATGTCTTCGTTTGACAACTTCGTTACATCTGGTTCGCACATTTGTGTTCGAGTGCGTTTAAGTGCGTTGCATTTCCTTGTAACCTAAGGCTTACGACAAGAGAGCAAGCTCTCGCCAACCATTGGGTATCGCTGGAACGCCTTTGCTCTTCGTAGAACTAGACGGAAGGTTTTGCGGCAGACTTGAACGGTACTCATACAAGCAATCAAATTACTCATAATTGGTTACTTTTTGGAATATTTTGTAATCATTACATTTATTAGGAAGTAATTGTGAGAGCAATCCGATTATTCTTGGAAATACTAAAATTACTCGTAACTGTTACTTTTGTTTTCCCTTTCGTTTCTAACGGTGCACTCTTTGTTCTTACAAGTCTCTACCACAGCGGCCTCGAACCGAATCTCCGGCGAGATGAGGGTTTACGAAAATTCATAAATTAATGAGATAAATTGTTCACAATTCGTGGATTCTATTCCAATAATTAATAGTACGAAGGACCCGTTTTCAAACAGGCAGAGCACCCTGTCGTTTTGGAAATCGGAAGTAACGGTTGCTTTTTCAAGTAACAGCCAATAGCTTTTCATTCGAGTAAGCTACTAATCTAATCAAATACTTTTTAAACAAGAGTGATTGCAATTGTAATGTTAGTTAAACATATAAAATAGCACAAAAAAGACAAGAACAAGAAATAAACAGGACAAGTGCTATAAACTACATTTCTTCTACAGTGGGCCCTTTTTTATGTTCTATGTTTAGTTAGGGCTTGTCCTGTTTACTTCTTGTCCTTTTGTTTTTTGCGCTACTTTATATGTTTTAACTAAGGTGTACGAGTCTGTTTTGCGGTATTTGCAAGACCACATCTTCGCACTATCAATGAGACGTTTATAGCATTGTCGTAATCATTTAGAGTGCACATTGAACGAGCGTGCGTAAAAAATTAAAGTGTGTATGCAGGTTTAAAGGGATACTGAACCGAAATTTGGATCTCGCAAAGCAAGGCTGCAGAAGTGTTGAACGGGACGCTACGAGCTCCAAAACATCACTCGTACATCAATATCTAAAACAAATGGCCGTACTTTTGGAAAAGAAGGGCGCAATTAAGCAAGTTCTTTGACCTAACTGTCCTCCGGGAGAATTTGAGAATGAGGAGAAGCGGCCTCGCTTCGGTTCACCAGCTTGACGGGATGTAGTGAGGAGGAGAGAGAATGGGAATCGTGACGTGCCTTGTCTTGTCGGCCGAGTTCAGTCGCGCACTTCTTTTCCAAAAAATACGGCGATCCGTTAGACATATCGCCGTATGAGTGATATTTTCTGGTTTTGCAGCTTGCCGCCTATCCGCCCGGCCTTGTTTAGCGAGCTTGAAATTTCAGTTCAGTATCCCTTTAAAGTGTTCCAAGGCCACCCGACAGATGGCACCAGTCTGTTCTCTTGTCCCAAGTCGCTCGACAAAATTCACGCTCAGAGTTTCTACAAATAGCAACAATCATTTGTTTGGCAAGTGTGCCTTGTTTTATTTACCTGCAGCTGCCTGCACTGTAGTTGGGTATGCACTTGGGCTAGTGGGTGATTCATAGTTCTGAAAGTAAAAGCACTGAGGGTAAATGCAGATGTCCTGATTTCACGGTGTATAGACGTATGTTTTTTCAGCAGTAAACTTCAGTGGCAAGTAGCACTCTGTGTTGTTCGTCTCTTTCACTTGTCCATTGTTTTTTATCGCTTTTTACCCTCAAAGCCTGCACCGCTGCAGAAAAGTGCACGCAGGGTATTTCCAGTGTGCGTTCGAAGATGGGCTGTGCTCGTAAATTGAATATGACGGCGTGCACGCGGCGCACCCAGCGCGAGAGGTGTGGTTGAATCAAGCGTAGTGACCTTATGAGTTGCGCCCGCCGCCGACGCCTTTCCCGCAGGTTCCTGGAGGGCATCTCCCCGTACATGTGGTGCTGTCTCGGCATCGGCCTCTCCATCTCCCTCTCCGTCGTGGGCGCCGCCAGGTGGGTACTACCTTTTCTCAGCGTTTCCCGCGCCTTTTGGCTTCTCGCGCCTCCTGAGGCTAGCAGGGAGCCGGCGGCGTGACCCTCGGTTTACACGAGCAGATGAGTTGTACTGCTAGTAATAGCAATTGTGTTGTGTGTATGTTTATACAACCTCAACTTAGTCTGCCTCAACCTTAGACTTGTCTCTCAGCTGTAGATGAGCAATTTAGCCAGTGCAGTAAAACCGCTAGCCTGGGGTCTTTAACGTGCATCACGCAGTAGTGCTATACGACCACAAGCCGGTACGATGCTCATCCAGATCGAAATGGGCAGGGGTGGGGATTGAACACAGGATCCTGGGTTCTGCAGCGCGAGCTTTTGCTCCACGTGCTCCAAGCTGGTGTGCGTCGACGCACCCTGCCATTGATCTCTCTTCCACGCTTAAACTGCGAGTTCTCGCGCCAGGTTTCTAGGAACCTATGGGTTTCCCTGAAGACACTTGCAGGTTCCACGAGCCCCCAAATTTCTTCGGCCGTCCCCGCCCCTAAGTGAAGCGTATTTACAGTTCAGGCACTCACCATTTTAGCAGCTTCAAGCCACCCGCTTGTACGCAACTACGAGGCTAACGCTCTCCACGTGCGTCATCATTTACGAGGTCTGCGGATTTCTGCGCCGTATTGCCTCGGTGCCGAGACCGGAAGGCGTTCCTCGGCCCAGTTCCTTGAGAAAGATTAAACCGACAACCCCCGTGGCATACCGACAGCATGGTGCCTGGACTGCGTCTCCGACCGACGCGTTTACTGGACCCACAAAAGCGGTCCCTCGATATCCGCCCAGTGACATCGTACAAGTGTCGCGCCGTCGCCGACTGCGATCCTTTTAGGGTCACGGCAGCGGTGATGGGTGTGGCAGATGTCCGTCCTGCTGCAGGTCGCTCTTCAGTGTGACAACACGCGGAAGTTTCGGCAGCCGAGAGTTGGGACACTGTGACGACGGCAACACACGAGTTCACACTTGCTTTTTGCCGGAACTTCTGCGACCGATCGCCGGGACTGCGACGTACGACGGCGCGACACTCCGGCTCTTGTGACGTCCTTTCTTGCCACTTCGGGACTACTTTTGATGCATTGGGAGAATGGGACGTTAAACGCACCAGTTGGAGACTCATTCCAGGCACCGCACCATGGGTGCCGCCATTTTGGTGCTTCTTGCGGCAACCGTTACGATTCAAAAATGCGACTTACCTAGATTTAGATACAGCGTTGGGAAGCTCGAGCGACGTCGTTTTGCTCCGTCGCCGGGCGTTTTAAAGTATCCGGAGGACAACCGACCTAGATGAAGTGTCGGATAGCTGGCAACAATGGTTTCGAGCACCAAGATGGTGTCAACACTCTGAAGCGCAGCTTGTGTGGTGGCTCTAGGTTGTGCGTAAAGGGCAACTCTGGTCAATATTCTTTTAATTTGGGATTACGACAGTTTTCGGCTGAGGCAGTGTTCCTGAATTACGAGGTATAATTTTTTTTTTTTCTCGATATTGTGCATAGTCTTATAAATATTGCGGCTCGACGTGTAGTTTCCGGCGCCTGCGGCAAAACCAAAAATATCTGCTAGAGGGATGGCAACGCTGATTGTCAGTCGTACGACCGCGACAAGACATCACAGGGTTGCTGTGCCAGTGTTCCTCGACTAAGAGCTAACCCGCTTGCCACCTGCTAAAGACCAGCTGGTCACATCCTTAAAATCGGCTTAAGTGAAGTTTGAGGCTTCACTTTGACGTAATATTTCGGCTGTGAATATGTTTCGTGCCACTAAAGCGATACCAGTTAGTTTGGTTTCGTTTTCGACTGGAGGTAGGGGTACCCGGCGATTTTTCGAATTACCTAAACACACTATATTTTCTGAACCCCAACCTTTACCCCCTCTGGTATGCTATATAGTATTGCGAAATTCAGTGTAGTTACAGTGAAATCGGCAACTGAAAATGATGCCGAAACCAGTTCAAATATACCCGCGCTTTTCAGCGCCACGACGTCGGTGGCAGGCAGGCTCGTCGTTCGAGAAGGCAGTCTTAAAAGTGTACTATGCCGAGCATTTGTTTCGTGCTTCTGCGCAGGTGTTAGAGCAAGGTTCCAAGCCATTCATTTGAGACCATGAAACTGCTCGTAATCAGTTAAGAACAAATCCTATAGTTCAAAGAGTCAATTCCTGCCTGCTGCTGGTGTCACTTTTTCGTTGTTGCCAATAGACTTTCGCTTTGAAAAGCACTGTGAGGACCAAAAGTGTAAATTCAATAACTGCAACAACATCAAAAAAATATTTGGGATACTATTTCAGTGATGTTTGTTGGAGTGTTTAACAAATTTTCAGACAAATCGGGGACCATGAAAAAAAAACTGACTACCCCTTTAAAGACACTGAAGGATGGCCAGTTCTGCTTAATTAATTATAATGAATTAATAGCGATAATTAATAATTATGTGATAAATATATCCACGTCTTTCCAACGCCCACTCTAAATTAAAGAATAATCTTTCCCTCTTTTTTGTTGTTACTTGTTGAGCAGTGTAATCGGGTAGCAGGGCCATATCAGGCAGAGCACATCTGCCTTTTACCATGACTGTGCTCCAAATATTACTCGAGCAGATCCGAATTTTTCCCGCGGCTCATGTCGCATGACAACGCAGAGGGGCGCTGGATGCGAGTAGGTTTTCGAACGCCAAGATACAAAACCTTTAATCTGAAGTGAGACGAAGTCCATTCTGGCAGACGGCACTTGCGTTTAAATAAACCAAAGGAGCGAAGCAGAGTCCCTCCCGCGGGGTGGTGACGTGGCCCTCTGGCGACTTCTTCGCAGCGGCATCTTCACGACGGGGGTGAGCATCGTTGGGGGTGGGGTGAAGGCTCCCCGCATCCGCACCAAGAACCTGGTGTCAATCATCTTCTGCGAGGCGGTGGCCATCTACGGCATCATCATGGCCATCGTGCTGCAGGGGCAGATCAACCGCTTCAATGACGACTCTATGGACTACAAGAGCCGGGCACTAAACTACATGTCAGGTGAGCCTGGATACATAGACGCTGGGAAGCACTAGGCTCCGGGGTTATTTCTGGGAGTTTATCGATTAGTGCTGACAACAGGGAAGCCTATTTATGATGGTCTGTCTCTGCAGGCTACATCATGTTTGGGGCGGGACTGACGGTGGGGCTGGGCAACCTGTTCTGCGGCATGTCGGTGGGCATCGTGGGCTCGGGGGCGGCCCTGGCAGACGCGGCCAACCCGGCCCTCTTCGTCAAGCTGCTCATCGTTGAAATCTTCGCCAGCGCCATCGGGCTCTTCGGACTCATCGTGGCCGTCATCATGGTGGGTACCGCGTAGAGTTCATAAAATATTCTAGTGGAAAAAAAGTTGCACACATATTGGCTGCCTCAGAACGGCGGAGCGCATACTTATACGTCGGTGGTCCCAATGAAACCATAATGCAGGCGAAACTCTAATATACAGTCAAACCCTGCAGTAATGAAACCGTCGGAGTAGAACAATTTTTTCGTTCTTGGAAAAATTGTATTGTTGAGAAAATGGATAAATAAGCACACCTATTACATTCCAGAACCAAAATTGATGCCGTCCTTAGATTTAAAAATCTTAGAAAGTGGGCTGTACGGGATACTGAACTCCTCCGCAATATCTGACTTCTTTCTGCCTTTCACAGCTTTGGCAATGATTGCAGACTCCTCCTGAAGCGTCGCAAGCTTACGCTTTTTAACGGCAGGTGGCATCTTTCCTACACGGTAAACAAACGGTAGTAAACAAGGCACGGGCGATCTCGGCGTGCACGCGGCAGACGGTGAAATGGCATCGGGCCGTTGGCGGTGGCGTCACGTGAAACGTCACATGCCTATGTAGTTGCCAACGGATGAGTTAACAAAACGCTGTTTTCAGCGACCAAAAAAAAAAAAAATCTCGTAGCTATTATTATTTGAACGAATGTAAACAGCAATGGCTGCGCCAATGCTTGTTGGAAACAAATGTGCCCAGCTTGTCGGATGAGTGTGCTGCTCCACTTTTCATACTTCTGGTTTCCGAACTGGCCCATGTGCCGAAAAAATGTTGCAGATCACTACCTCAAACTTTTTTTAATGCGGGACTGCTTTTTAAAAACACTTCGCTGTTGAGAGGGCGCAAATGCATTGAGCTCTATTATGGACGTTCACCGGGACTGCCAGATTTCTTTGTTGCCGAGAGAATTTTGTTCTTGAGGGCTTTCAGTGTTGAGGGGTTCAACTTTACACGAAGAAGCAGCAGAACACCAGTTGCGAGGTCTGTACCTACCGTAAAATTACAAGAGATGCCCCACCCCTGGAAGATAGCCCATCCCTATGTTTGGCTCGATTTGCTATATTTTTTTTTTAAACACCGAAAGATAGCCCACTTTTAGTAATAGTAGTGTTGGGATCAATGACGGCTTCGGCGTAAAAGCGACTAGTTATCTTTGGCGGTATATATAGCAAACATTGCTGACTGGGAAATACAGTCATCCTTGCTTTGTTGCCCTTTCCACAATAGCAAGCTTGGAAGAAACACGACATTAAAATAACATTTTTTTTTTTCAGCTTTTCTCTATTGTACATTGAAAGATAGCCCACTTCATATTTTCACCCGATTTGCTCTCGATTTTAGGTGGGCTATCTCTCGGGATGTTACAGTAGTCTCTTCCTAGCTTATTTTGCGGGAAAACATTGGCATCGCGCATTGTATTAAAAAGCTAACGTCCACAAGAACTTGAGCAACTTTAACTTATTGCATCAAGATGAGGCCCAACCTATCGTCTGCTTCCTTTCTCCGCTTTTCTCTCACTCTCTTTCTTATTCTTTCGGGACCACTAACGTAGGCGTTTTCGATTTGCTGCGGTCTTTACTCCCCCCGAGGACTGGGCCCTCACTCATTCATAGATCTACGGAACGCGTCTCCAACCAGCTCGTGTGGCCGCGTCCCCAAATGTGGTCCCTCAACTTCCGCCCGACAATGTGACAGAAGTGTCTCGCCGTCGTCTGCCGCGACTCTGGCGGTGCACGGTGGCTGAGGGCAGACGTGGCAGACGCCCGTTCCGCCGTAGCTTGCTTTCGGCTCGACGGTCCACAGAAGTTTGAGCATCCCGGACCGGTGACGCTACGACGACGGCGACGTTTGTGTTTGCTCATACTTTTTGCTGGAACTTCTGCGACCGTTTGGCCGCGTGATGTGCCGGCTCTTGCGACGTTGTTTGTTGCCACTTCGGATCCACTTTGGATGCATGGGCGGGATGGGACGCTAAGCACGACAGTCAGAGGCGCATTCTGGACATCTTGGTAGAGCCTTTGTAAGGGACACCCTACTCCCAAAACGCAATTTCAGCCACAATACGTTCATAGGCTGATTTTGCTATCTTGTGACACGGCTTTTCCCACTCAATTTAGCGGAGAGGTAAGACATACAATGCTTTATCTGTGTGTTAGCCTCTCAAACAGGCCTGAAAGTTGCCGAAAGTGAGAGAGCAATACTAATGAAATAGGTCTAAATTTGTAGAAAAAGAGGTCCAAGACCATTACACACATGAGGTTTTAGAAGTATCAAAAATCTGGAGGCCAGGACTCGCACGACGCTTACGTCATTTCTCTACTTTATATGAAGATTTGATGCAAGTTTTATTTTTAAAACCTGCCTAGGTTGGCCACATTTGTCAGAAGGTGCACTTTCCTTTGAGACAAATTATTAATGCAATATTTATTCTTTGAGATGCATTTTTTAGCTCGAATAAGGATGTATATCGGCCAAAAATGACTCCTACTTTAATGTAATGGTGACATCAGAATGAAATCCACTTCTTGAGCCCCTCACCCCCTTCACAATCAGAGGGAAGAAGCACAAAGGAGAGGTGTGCACATATCGCTGCCAACACCTCCAATCACAACCAGTTGTGAGATGATCAATTCTGGAAAGATCAGTTGTGAAACAATAATTTAATACTAGATTTTAATCAGTTGTGAAACAATGAGTTACATAGCAGTAGATTTTCAATTGTGTTAAGTCCGCATATTTGCAACCTGTTTATTAACTTAGCTCCATAGTTCTTTGTATTTTTGCTCGGTGTTTGTTATCTAACCAAGTATTTACACCCTCGTCCTTTATTCTGAGATTTAAATGTTTTAATACCTTCGGGGCCACAGGCAGTTGAAATTATGTTAGGCTGTGAAACGAGACCGAGGCAAGCAGCAACAGCCAGACATAGTACACACTTGTTAGAACTTGGGAAGGTAGGCACCACTCTTGAAAGATAGTTTTCGTTATTGCCTCGCAACACTATGTTGCTGACGGTCCTACCACACAAAACAATAGGTTTTATGGTTTCTGGCTTTAGAAAAAAAAGTTAAGTGTCGTCACATATTGTGGCAGTTCTCTCTACAAGAACAAAGTCGAGGCACTGCACACTTTTCAGCCAATTGTGTGGAGAGGAGAGGAGTGTTTTCTCACGTTCGCACCTCTTTCCCCACAGTCGTCCAAGATCAGCATGGGTGATTCGATCAAGGCCTAGCAACAGCCCAGTATGTGCCCGGCCTTCACGCGGACCCCAGAGCCCACGGTGGAGGAGAATCCACGCCCTTCGCCCTAGTCTGTGCTGTCAGTGTTGTATGTGTGGCAACTGTGCAAAATGTGCACCCATCCCGACGATTCGCACATTCCTTGGTCCGACGTGTGTCTGCGTGGGGTACACGTGCGAGAATACTGCCACAAACGTTTGGGTACCTTTTTTGATCCCTTAGGGGTCTTTCGTCTGTTAGTCTGCGGGATAGCGCTGTGAAAGACGGTGTTACGATTTTAGTTGCGGGGGTATGCTTTGGTCGGAGATGTTTGCGCTCGGTTGAATTCCCCGTTTCAGATTTGCCGAAATTGGTTTTGTGGGGTTCAGCACCACGATTTGTCACAAAGGTGTAGCTAAGTGGTGCGCTTGTTTTGTGATGAAAGTGTGCGACGAAAACCTGCCTCGTTGAAAAGTAATGTTTTGAAAGTATTCTTTTCCTTTGAGGAGCTGCCTTTGCTTTCTGCCCAAGGTAAGAGACTCCTATGGTCTCTTATCTCCAGTTAACAAACACAAGAATGAAGTAAGAGATTTAATTACTTTGTTCTCTTTCCTTGTTTTGTGAAATCAAACTGCTCAAGGCCCACTGCAATATTTTTTTTTCAATTTGATGTGAATTAGGCATAATCCATTGGAAAAGGGCTTCATTCTTTGCTCTTTCGACCGAAGTAAGACTTGCCCCGGACATTCTCACAAAACAGAGTCCGATCTAGCTGCACCCTGTGAAACCAATTTCTTTGATTTACCTCGAGTAGGTTTTGATCTATCAGCCCATGCCATAGAATGATTCTTCTATTATTGAATGAGTGGATGTTCTTCCGAAGCGACTCTCATGTTTGCTCACTTAACCTAGAGGAAACTGAGTGGAGGTGTAACTGTAGGGACAGTTGTATGCAGCAGCTGTTGAGTGGCTGCAAGTTGTTGTTCCCTTGTCTGGCAATGACATTTGCAGACTAATTTATTTGTACATAAATGTGCCACTTTTCTGTTCCCGTGTAGCCCGATTCATGGAATAAAGTTGTAATGAATGTTAACTTAGTCTCTGGTCTCTGCATGCCTGGCTAATTTCAGTAGGCCTCGCACATATTTGCCTCGCCAATAAATTGCAGTGTTTGGTAACAGTATCAAACATTAGGAAGTGTTAGCTTCTCCATGTTTGTTTCTTTAATTACTTCTATGCTAATAATCTGCTGAATTGTAAACATAATAAAGCCCTCAAATAAAAAAATAAAAAATCAAAGTGGTGCAGTAAAGGTGCTGATAATATTTCATTTTCGCCTTCCAGCATTTTCAAAAAGCGATCAGTACTTTCTTTTTGGGAACAGCAACCTCTCGAAGCAAGTGACTACGCCAAATCGTGAGAGACCCTCACCCTCCCGCAAAGCCCCCACTCTTTCCACTTTGCAGAGCAAATGCCGGAGAGGAGATGAGGCGAGGGGGACGGGGGGACTCGCATACTCTTTCCTCTCTGACGTTTGCTCTGCTAAGCAGAAAAGGAGGAGAGGTTTAAATGCAGAGGGGAAGCAAGGAGGAATCGTTTTAGTTTGCACTCTAGGTGGCGCATCCATCCAAGTTCGGCAGCGCTGTTTCGTTTTCGTGTTTCGTCTGTTACCCGACGATACGCGACAGGTCAAAGGCCAGGTCCGTCGTCGTCGTAGCGCGCGAGATTCGTGTATTCGCCGGGCGTCGTGAAATCCAAACTTTTAATACATTGCTTCTATGGAGAGTTCACCGGGCCCGCCTCCAAACGACGTAAAATGCGGCCGCATCCCATGAACCGGGGAGAGACGCATAACGGCTCCATTCTATTCTCACTTATCTTAGCGTTTCATGAAGACTAGTCTGCCTGTCTGGAAATTGCCTTTTAAATGTGTTAGAATTTACTGCCCTACTTGGTGCATACAGCCGTCTTTGGTTGGGGCGGTTGTGGTTTGGACTGGACGGCAATGGTTTCGTGAGGCCGCGGCACAGTTTCCCTCGTGCCCTTAGCTTCATTTGTTCCGCTAACTTTCCCTCTTACAGGAGGGAGCGGGGTCTTCTCGCACGCTTCCAATGACTCTAAACGGGGGAGAAGGGAATTGAGCGGCCCTCGCATGACGTACGTGACAACGCAAAACCGAGGTGCAGCGACGAAGCCGTTTGTGCGAAACCGTCGACACCCGGGAGGAACGATGGGAGATTTCGTAGATCGTTCCGAAGATTCCGATAACGATACCCGGTACACCGCCGCCACCTTTGCGCATGCATTGTGTCCTTATCAGGGATATCGAAGGTATTGGAACGATCTACTAAAACTATTAGGGAGTTTGGAGAGCCGTTTTTTTAAGCACACGGTTCCGAAATCATGGAACGGTGCAGCTAGTCCGTTTCGTGAAACCGCACGTGAAATTTGACATATTTTAGCGAATCGTACATGAAACTGGCACAACCATGTAAACATGAAAACAATGATTGCGTTTGACCGGCAGCGGCATATTCTAATAACCATGTGAAACGTTCCGCAGCGTGCAAATCCTTGGCGGCTTGAGTTTACGGTGTACGACTGATGTAAATAAGACGGCCAGCGTAACACTTACCGGTCGGAATTTCAAGACCTGCGACGCTAGATGGAGTAAAATGTGCGAGAACGACCGCAAAGGTAGGTGGTGCCTCTCCATCATCTTGAACTTGAACGGCCGTTCACGTCGTGTCCCGTCGTCGAAACAAATATTTTTTAGAGCGCAGCTCTTAGGGGCCCGTTTCCGGCTTGAGCGGCGTCGGCGTCGCCGTCGCCGTCGCCGTCGGCGTAACCGCGCGGTGCATCATGGGAAATATCCCATAATGCACCGCGCGAGCCCCCCACCGGGGTCACGTGACTTCGTGGGGAGGCACGTGACCCCCCCGAGGTCACGTGACCCCCCGAAGTCACGTGACTCCCCTGAGGTCACGTGACCCCCCGAGGTCACGTGACCCCCGCCGATGTCGCGTGATCCCCCGATGACGTCATCAGTGATGATGACGATGCGGATGCCGGTGACGTCATCAGTGATGATGACGATGACGATGTGGATGCCGGTGACGTCATCAGTGATGATGACGATGACGATGTGGATGCCGGTGACGTCATCAGTGATGATGACGATGTGGATGCCGGTGACGTTATCGACATCCGCATCGTCATCGTCATCATCACTGATGACGTCATCAGTGACGTCACTGATGTCGTCACCGGCATCCGCATCGTCATCGTCATCATCACTGATGACGTCGTCAGCGACGTCACTGATGACGTCACCGACATTCGCATCGTCATCATCACTGATGAAGTCATCAGTGACGTCACTAATGACGCCATCAGTGACGTCAGTTATGACATCATCGGCATTGGGGGTCATGTGACCCCCCAAGGTCACGTGACCCCCCCTGGTTAGTCTAACCCCCCCCCCCCCCAGCGCCCTTCCCTCCTCCTCAAGAGCTGCGCTCCAATTCGGCGTTACAGGGAGTTGTAAGCGGCTTTCACTTTTTTTCTGCTCGTGGTCGCCGCGGCAGCTAGTCTGCCTGCAGATCGCAAAAATGCGTAGCATGCGTAGTTTAAAGCATTCATAATTGCTTACCCTTGTGAGCAGTCCTCGAAATGATTTGGTTCAACCTCTCAAATGAAGCAGGGTGGCGCGCTTTGCAGTTTCAGTTTCGTTTTTGAGCCGGGTACGAGATTGACATTTCTCGTCCCGTAGCGCACGCAACAGATTTTTCAATAACAGTTTAATTATTTTTTTTAACTACCTACAACAATACAAATGTAAAAAAAGTTAATTTCGAGATTTCCGAGGCAGGAATAGACCTATTGCTATATTATCCAGGCATCAAGAAGAATGCAGGGAATGGTGTTCCACGCGCCGCACATGCTGGCCTCAGCAGTAGTAAATTCTCTAAAGCAAAAACCTAAAAATTGTATCTTGCACGCGCGTTCGTCGACGCTTTATTTTGGTTATTTACTTCGAATCTTTTATACGGGGAAGGCGTGCGCGTGTGGCGCGTGGAACACCAATCCCTGCATTCTCCTTGATGCTTGGGGAATATAGCAAATGGTCTATTGTAGTTACAGGAATGTGTTCAGCGCTTCACCCATTTCACGAAGCAGGTCGGGGAAAAGGCGGAATGGAAGACCGAAGGATTCGGATTACAGAGAAACCCTTATTAAAATATGAAAATCCACACGGGTCAAGGGTGTGAAGGGGTACAACAGAGTTCGAAGAACGGGCGTGTATTTTTCATGATGCTCGCTTTTTCCCACAACCTAAATTCAATTTAGCTAAATTTAATTCACTAACTCTATAGTCGTGGAGAACGATACAGGGGGTAAAGCTACACAGTGTAGCCTTGACAAGACCCTGCATCTTAACAGATCTGACAGGTTTGTCAGCATATAAATTAATAAAAGTAAAAGTGAACGCTCGAACAAAAATGCTCGGGGTAAATACAGAAAGTATTCGTGTATCTCTCGTTTAAACAAGGCAGTGTGAATGTCAGAAGATACGTCGCGGAAAGTCGGTACCAAATGAAAACGGCGTAATTTATGAAGTATACCTTTAGCTCGTGGGTTTTACTGACTTAAAAAAAAAAATGTAAATGATAGCTAGATTAACCGAACATAAACACAAAGCGAGAAACAAACCCAGCTAAAAATTCCGAAATAAGATCCAAGTGGAATTCGAACTGGTTTTAATTGGAACCAATTGGTTTTTGGTGGGTTCCAACTGGAAGCACTGGCTAAGTGAGTTGGAACCTAAATGGGTTCCAAATGGTTCCCTTTGGTTCCCTTTGGCAGTTACCAGCTGCAAGGTTGTCCGAAAACCTAACTGGTACCGACGGGGAAATTCCAGTTGGAACCTATAATGGGAATTTTTAACTGGGAATGCAGATTAGAACTTCTCTTTAGCGTACTCTTTGCTAAAGTGAAAAGAGGTGGGAGGAGCTTCTCCTGGACTCTATAATGTAACGAATGAAAAGTGAACTGGTCTGAAACTTAAGTGATGTTCACAGAGAGTTTAATGACATCAAAAGGTGTTGTACGAGAAACAGTTCGGGAACGGGTCCCAACAATTTTTTTTTCGATATATTTTTTTTTAATGTTTTAATATATATCGCTTTACGGTGCGAGAGTTGTTTGCAAGGTCATGGGTGGTTTTGCTTGTTTTGTTGCGCGATTGAGTCTGAAACTGAGGACTTCCACCGTGTGAATGAAAGTGTAACATTCGGATTGCGTGCGCCCCTATATATATTTTTATTTATTTATTTATTATTTGTTGAGGGAGGAATAGTTAATAAATAATTGAAATAATGGCTAATCCACGCTTTTGCATCTTGCATGTTCCCTTTGTTAAGGTTGTAAAATGCATGTATTTCGTGGAGAGGAAATAAAGAACTATTTTTATAAGTGCGCGTTATTTTACGTTGATGACGTCTCTCATTTTGTTCTGGTTCTTTCACAGTGTGCATTTTTCTTTTTCGTTTTCCATCGTAGTTTTAGGCTTTAACATCACGATGAATCAAAAGCGTGTATGAATGGTGAGATTGGGTAGGAAACGAAGGGCGATACAAAAAGGCATTGTACTGTAATAGTTTTAGAGCAAAATAGTTGCATCAAAAAACGCCATAAAATGTACAATTCTGTGGTAGGTTATAAAATCAATTTCATGTCATTTGACATTGTCACACTGTGACACGCAAAAGCACATGGCAATAAAGGTTAAAAACGCAGACCAACTGGTGTACGACTTTCACACCCGCGACTATAAAAAGGTATGCACATGTTATTTTTATCAATATGTTCATTCTTCCTGGTATAGGCCTACACTCGTGTTGGTCTCTCTTTTGATCGTCTTCAGCACACACGTCCGTGGTCGTTTCTACTGGTCCTCTGTCCGTTTAGTCAGTGTGTAGTGTTTTTCTTTCTACGTTGGCAATATACAGGGTGTTTCACGAAAGGTGGGAAAATTCGATATTGCGAAAACTACGCGTCGCAACAAAAAAAGGCTTGTGCCGTTTTGGTCCTGGGTCAGGGTCCTATTTAGGAAAATGATTAAAGTCCGGGATAATTAGTTCGTTAATTATTTTTGCGTAATTAACTTTTTTAATATTGCGTTTAAGGGCCTGGTTTATATCAGAAAATTTCTCAGCATCATTGAAAAACACTAAATCAACAAATTGCAGAACGATAGAAGGCACGCGAAGCATCTCACGACTTTCTGAAAAAACCGCACAATTTCAATGTTTTTTTTTTTTTTTTTTTTTTTTTGTTTCGGTTTGCTATCGGAGCGCATCTCGGCCCCGGCGGCACCGCGCCCCGTGGAAAGATAATGCAACCAGCCTCTGCTGCGTCGCGCGATGACGGCGCATCAGAGGTTGGTTGCACTATCTCTCCACGGGGCGCGGTATTGCCAGGTCCGAGATGCACTCCGATAGAAAACCTAAACTTAAAAACCCGTCGAATTTGTGCGGCTTTTCAGAAAGCCGTAAGATGCTTCGCGTTCCTTCTATCATTCAGCAATTTGTTGATTTAGTGTTTTTCGCTGAAGCTGAGCAATTTTCTAATATAAACCAGGCCCTTAAACGCAATTTTAAAAAAAGTTAATTACGCAAAAATAATTAACACTCTAATTATCCGGAACTTTAATAATTTTCTTAAATAGGCCCCTGGTCCAGAACCAAAATGACACAAGCCTTTTTTTTTTTTCTTTTTTTGTAGCGACGCGTAGTTTTCGTAATATCGAATTTGTCCACCTTTCGTGAAACACCCTGTATCTGCATTAAATAAAATCTTGAGCTGAAGCCGCTGAGGGCCTTCTTAAAAGCCGCTATCATACACCTCGAAAGTCTAATGCCTAGATGGAGGTGATAAGTAAACGACGCATTAGTATAAAAGATCAACTTATAGCGCAGCCCAGCTATACACAGTCGAGGGAGATTAAAAATTACCTCTCGCTATGCACCAATCTCGAATCATAAAAAACAAGAAAATACGTCAGAACATCCCAGGCTATCCTATAATAATTGTACAAAAGCTATATTGTCACAGCAAGGTACATTTCTCACATTAGAATAGACCCGTTGCAGAACGCCCTACCGAAGAGAATTCTGGGAACTGACTGTGTAAAACATGCTGCAGCAGGTCACGGAGACAATAACACAGACGAGCGCAGACGGGCAACAGTGCGCCGTCCTTTTTCTCGCTTCCTTCAGTGTCACACATGGTAGATGATGCGGGAGCAAGGAGGAGCATACAGGACGTTCCCATCATTCAACGCGCGCTTCGCAGGTGCCCTTTTAGGAGTTTTGCGACTGCTCTATTCAACAAGTTCAGTTTATTGTCGTCTTTTTCTTTCTTTTTTTTTTTTTTTTTAAATTCCCGGATCCGGCATCTGCGACAGCTCTCGACTGCTCTCGAGGAGCGTATACTCTCAGGGAGAGGATGAGATGACGTCAGGGCGCCGAGCTCTGATTGGTAGGATTAGTGGGTAGACCCGCCGTCCAATCGGAGCGAAGAAGAGCGCGGTCTGCTCCTAACGCAGCACTCGAGCGCCAAACGCCAACTTTCGAACGCCACATTCCGCGCGAAAAGCAGACGACGATTTCTGGTTAGCTCCGATTGGATGGAGGCACCGACGCCACCGCACGCTTTCGTCTCGTCTCCATGAGTTTCTCCCAACTTTCTGTGGCATTTTCGACGAGAGGATACAGCGCTCGCGTGCACAGCTTTCATCATCGGCCTTCATGCACGCGCCCCCACACCCTTGATCGGAGCCCACTGCGCGTACACAGAAAGTTGACTGCAAACACGGTTTTCGTTCCGATGATACGAAAAGGACGACGGTTTGCTCCCGGAGTTGCACACAGACCGAAGAAAGCACGCTCGCGCGGTACGAAACTGTTAACGCGAACAAGCAATCGCGTTTTTTTTTTTCCCCGTTTTTTTTTCCTTCAAATTAAAGCCTTCAAAATAGTCAGTTACAGGCTAAAAAAAAAAAAAAGTATTTGAGGGAAAGTAGGGCTGGGGAGGAGGAAGCAAACGGAATGCTGGAGAGGAGAGAAGGAAACCTCCTCCTCTCTCCAGCGTTGCATCTGCTTCCCCCTCCTCAGCCTTTCTGCCCCTCGAAAACTAGAATGTGTTCACGTAGCACACTAACCTAAACGCTCAAATCTGGTGCCCGAGAACAAACAATCTTTTAAAATAAATCCGAAGAAAAAGAAATCGCTGATGTCGCGTTCGCGTTAACCGAGTCGCCCGGTGTACAATAGTAATACAGCACGCAGTGTAAACGAGCACGCCTTGCTTCGTAGACGTAAAGCACGAACTGTCCCGATCGAGCGGCGTCCAATACGCGGATGTGGCTTCCCCGCAATGTACCAGTGACGGCGGAGAAGAGCCCTTACGGAGCTAGCACGCCCAGACGCTCCTCGAAGTATCGGGGAAAGTTCGGAGCACATCGCAACATTCCCGTGCAAAGGTCAGTTCGAATGGTACGCTATTCAGATCGATAACCGAGCCGAGAGAATTCGCGCATGCCTACATTTCCTCGTAATGTTCGTCCACCATTATCTATTTCTTATTGCATTTCCAAAATGTTCATATGCGACGACACAATCTTCATAATGTCGGCTGCCATCTATATCCCTCTTCCTGCTGGGAAAGGTGACAGACAAAAAAAAAAAAAAAAAAAGTGAACGGCCAAGTAAATTAAAATTCATCCTGCGCTCCATTCGCAGAGCACGCGTTTTGCACTATCAGTGTCGAACAGAATTGTTCTTCTTGGTGGTCCCTGGGCCTGCCACTGAGCTACGAGGGACTGCACCCAAAGCTACGAGCCGCCAGCTCCAATCCCGAGCCAGCGAGCGAACCATCTGGTCGCTCGCTTGCCAACTGAAACGCTCACATCGGAGCAATGTACCTTCTACGCTAGCTCGTGATTGGGCGTAGCGGCACGTCTGCAGTCCGTCGCAAGGTGGACAGACAGCGTACAGTCACCGAGTCGTGCGTTCACGTCCTCAGCGGCGTCTGCTCGCCCTCGCCTCCAAGCCCGCCGTCAGCCGTCGTCCGGCGCGTCGGCGGGGTCCTCCGTCCATCAGGCGGTGTGAGGCAGCTGGAAAGCGGCGGTAGCGGCGGTGGCTGCAGTGACCGCTGCCGCAGCGGCGTTGCTGGCCGTCGACGCGTCGGACGGCTGCCGGCCCCTGCTCGGGCACGACCGGAGGCAGGCGATCTCGCGGAGCGTGGGCAGCACGTACTTGACGTCGTCCGTGTCCACGGCGCACGTGAAGAAGAAGTACACCGGGCGCTCGGGTTTGAGGTCGGCGAACAAGCGACGCAGGAACTCCCTGGCCGCCTTGGGGTCTCCCGGAGGCCCCCGGAAGGCGGGGAAGTAGGCCCCCAACGGGTGCCGCTCGATCTTCTGCTCGAGCAGGTCCTTCTTGTTCAGCAGCAGCAGGAGGTGCGACTCGGCGAACCAGGGGCTGGACACGATGGTGCTGAAGAGGTCCCGGGTCCGCTCCATCTTGGCAGGGTCGTCGTAGTCCGACAGCGGCGCCACGAAGATCACTCCGCTCACGTCCTCGAAGCAGTGGATCCATTTCTTGGGCTCGGAGCGCTGCTCGCCCACGTCCACCAGGCGCACGGGAAACTCGTCCAGCTGGAAGGCGTACTCCAAGACGCCCCGGGACGGCGTCCGCACGCGCAGGTAATCCTCGCGCGACGGCACGTAGCCCGGCCGCGTGACCCGCTGCACGTCGGGCAGGAACGGGGGCAGTCCGCCGTACTCGGAGCGCCGGGCGTAGCACTCGCGCACGCCGTCGTCCTCCCAGAGCCGGCGCAGGGCCTCGGAGACCGGCTCCGTGAGCGGCGGCTCGAGGGACTCGCAACGCACGGCGGCCAGCAGCATGGCGTTCTCGGCGTTGGACGGGTCGCTGTACGCGATGCCCAGGGCGTCCATGGCGCGCACGATGCGCTGCATGGCGCCCAGCAGCGCCTGGAAGACGCTGCGCACGTGATCGGCCCGGTCGGCCCGCGCGTCGCCTTCCTGGATGAGGCGGATCTGCTTGAGGAAGGTCGTCTTGCCGGCCTCTTCGGGCCCCAGGAGCAGGAACTTGCTCTCGCGGCCAGCCTCGAAGCGCTCGCGGCTCAGCTGCCGCTCGATGCGCTCGTTGACGCGCTTCTGCAGCTTGGCCTCCTCGCTCAGGCAGCACGGCACCGGCGGAGCCATCGGCGCCGAGCAACAGGTGCTCGCTGCTCCCGGGCCTCAGCAACCGGCGTCGAGCGCGTCGTCTGCTGCGGGGGCGGATGCCGTTGGTGGAACGCGAGGAAGCCGCCGCTCAGTACCGCAGTCCTCGCCGTCAAACGCACACCTTTCCCAAACACCGCCTGAGAAAAAGCTACTAGCGCGATGAGCACCGAAGGGGAATAAGAAGTTCTCTATTACAGGTGATGGAGAGCGCAGACGTCGGAGATAGCGGAGAGGTGCGCCAGCGCCGAAGCGCGGTCGGCGCGGCTGGGAGTTACAGGTACACATAAACACACACGTACGTCATCGTTAGTAGTATACCCGACCCGCCCCAAGCGGCCAACACACTAAACTCGACGAGAGTAGGCGGCGAAGTAGCAGACGCGCGCGTCGAGGTGTCACCGTCTGCTAGCATAGTGCTCGTTGTTGTGAGACGCTGCAAACGACGCGCGTGCGGCAACGCGGACGCGGGCTAGGCGGCGCTGCGTAAACTTCTACTGACGACGTTACAGGTGAACTGCGCTAAACTACGGCGTCGGCCTGACATGGGAGCGGAGCTTGTTGTACATCGTAGCTGTAAAGTTGCGGGGACAAAGGCGTTCGATCAATTACCGCCGAGAATTCTGTTTAATGCAAGAAAGAGCACTGCGAGTTAAATCTGAACGCCTTTTGTCGCCTGCGAGCGCGGCGAACGTGTAGAGTAATGAGCCTGACAACATTGAGCGACGCGCTGCCGTATACGAGCGATTCGGAGGAGGAATAATGGCAGGTCGCGTGACCCGACGTCACCGGAAGTGACGTCACAAATATAACGTCACGTGACAAAGAAATTTTGTTTTGCTTGTTTTTGTTTGTTTTGTTTTCTGTGACGTCACGGTTTTTAGCGAGGAAACTTTTTCTTATTTTTACTTTGTTGACGTATTATTTTTTTTTTTTTTTTTTTCTTGCTTTTTGCAACCGCGGGACCGCGTTTCTGCGCTTCAGATTGCGTTTCTCTGACTCCTTTGTTTGATATCGTGTCGTATCGTCGTATTTATGTAGTTATTAGGAACGGCAAGGCCTACGTTGTTGCGTCCTTTACCTGAATATCGTGACCGAATCGAGTGTCGTCGATTTGAATCGTGTCTTGCGAACCATCGTCGAACAAAAGGTGAGTGATTTGCGTTTTCCTGTGATGTGATTTCGATGTGTTCGTTCCACGTGTCCGAGCTGCTTCTTCGTTTCAAATACATTTGGCGCCGCTGCCTATTGTTTGAGCCTGTGCTCACGATGAAAACACGCATCGCAGAAACCTGAAAGCCCGCCAAAAGAGCTCTAAAAACCGCATCCCAGACCTGCCGGCAGACTTCCGAGCTAAGCCTGATTAAACAAAAACGTTTGATCCGGCGGAATAATGTGTTTGATATTACATCCCATGTCAACAAGGAACTGCGCTGTCTGTCTTCGCCCCCAACAGGTTTTATTCTTCCGGGTTTTTCAAATCTTTACCAACCCGCGTCCGATCGTAATACCCCGATCACAACAAATAGTTGATCGTGCTCCGATGGCTCCAAACATCAGCCGGCAAGGAAGTTACGTTTTTCGCTTCTATATTTTGACCCAAGTAAACTCATGTTCTCAAACTATGTCATTCTGTCACCACCTCCAGTTGCACATTCTGGCGCACTTGCAGCCTCGTGCACCCTTGCGAGGTTTCCTGCTATCGTACCCTGGATATCATGGATTTCTCGCCGTACGCGAGTGCTCACGGAGGCGTGCTATACACTCTGTATCATAAGTTGTGTGCAGCAGAGGCGCAGGCCCGAGCACATGACAGTAAAAAGCGCCTTTTTTGCACGAGTACCCGCGCAAAAGGACATTCTGCAGAGCTGTGCCCTCGCACCCGTGCCTTTGCTGCACACAACTTACGAGGCAGTATAATAACCGAGCCGTTTTTGTTTCTTTTGCACATTACTGTGAAAGAAGTGTCATTGCTGTTTTCTTCTCAAAGAAAACTCAGAGACGTTAGACAAAAGCAAACAGATAGGAGACTGCACATTCATATGTTTTTCCCCCTTGTGCTACAGGTGATGGCTGGTCGTGGTTCATCAGCGTTTGTTTTGAAACTGATGGGTACCACAAGGCATGAAGGAGGTGACTTGCAGCAGCAAGGCACTGCAAGCCTTCGCAGCAACTGGCTAGCCAGTGCTGCTCTGTTCTGAACTGCACTGCGTGTCATGCGGAGGTTTTGTGCAAGCTCTCTGGGCGGCGACGCTAGCCACGGTAAGTGCATTCTATGCAGCTTCCTTTTAGGGATATATGTGGCTCGCAGGCCATGTCGTGCCAGCGAAATATGTGCCACCCGAGTGACAGCAGTGCTAGTGGCAAGGCTGCGCTGACAGTAATCAACACTGCACTGTGTTTTCATTCAATAACTAGTGACAAGGAACCAAATACTCCCGAGAGAGTCTCGGTTGTGCTTTGATAAACTCCAGCTCGCTTATGAACAGGTGGATGGCACAGATGGCTTTTCCTGGTGGACTTGGTGTCCGTGTTAACATTGCAACCAGACTTTCTTTCAGTTTGTGGCGTTTTTTCGTTGCGGGTGACCAGCATTGCAGTAGAAAAAGATGCAAAATAGTATAATGTTTGCATTCGTTACCTAAATTAATGGCAAGAACAACTGACATACATTTCCACCGACTGCATTTCTCGGAGGAATAGCCTGGACTAAAAAGCTCGCTACACTATGTCGTTCCCTCTTCGCCTGTACAACTCTGCGTCTTCCCTCGATCGTCTCATGTGGCTGCTTCTGTGTCTGCCTAGGCACTCGGTTGAAATGGGGAAAGCTGTCTGCGTTGCACATAACCGCCATTAGAGCCAGCGTGGGCGTAGCTGGGGTAGCCCCCACTATGGCTTCTCCAGCTCGACACAAGTAACATTCCTACCGCTGTTGTGTTAGCAGAAAACAGACCTGCTTAAAACGTACAGTGCACATAGCACACAATGGAGAGGTTGCTCGCCAATCATTTTCTTGGAAGTGTGAGTTGAGCCCTTTCGAGGCAGTTTGCTTCCGCACCGTGCACTATAATCCGCCCGAGAAGAGAAAACAAGATGAATAACCAGTAGGATTTCTTTGTTCCAAGGCTTCTTGACGCAGAAAAAGACTAGGGAGCCAGTATTGTTGCTTTTTTGCTACCCCGTGCGAGACTCAAACCCGACATGCAAGGAAGTGGAAAGGCCTCTTCCTTTCTGCTTTCTTGTGCCTTGGGTTTTAGCTGTGTTCAGAATTCACAGCTCGCCTGCATGCCTACTCTTTTGTTCACTGTGTTACTAAAGTTTTCTGTCGTTGCTGTCCCAGATTGGCTTCGTGGATGCACAGAAATACTCAAGGCGCTTGACGTCTGTGGCTCATCTGTATTGTTTTTCCCGGTACCACGGCATGAAGGAGCTGGCCTCCCTCCCTTCCATCAGCTGCGAGATACTACAAGCACTGGGCTACAGCTGCAGCTAGCCCATGGGTACCGTTCTGCGTCCTGTACTGCATCTAGTTCGAAAGGCCATGTGAAAGGCAGGTGTGGTCTTTATGGGCTCTGTCACTATGTGCATTTTCTGCAGCTTTTTCGGGGCAACTTCATATTAAGATTCAATACGGACTCGAGTGAGAGGGGGGCATTCTGAGAAAGCCAGCCTCTTTGTTAAACCATTGGGACTGGTATTATATCTACAGAGTTTATTTACACCTTTTGTTATGTACTTTTTTATTTATTTTTATTTTACTAGTTACTTATACTTCAATCTGACACGACAGCCACCAAAAATGGGGAAAGGACAAAAATGTTGACATATTGGCCTTTTTGTTTTCTGGCAGTTTGTTTGAAGAGCCAATGTTGGGGGCCGTCATTCGTGTTATTTTTCCCACACGCACGTCCAGCCTATGTTTACGTAAAGCCCCAATTGCCCCTTAGCAACAAAAATAATTTATGCGACAGACTAGGCGGCAGCATTGTGGACGAAAACAGGCCAGATTATATCTGCCATGTTTAAAAACTACATTCGGTGACAGGTTATGAATTCAGTGACAAGAATGCACACCGCCTGCCAATCCCTGCTGTCAGTTGTCGTGACGTCACGTCCTGCTAAGAAACTAGTATATATTTTTTTTAAATGGCAGGTTTTGGTTGCTGATGCCTCGTAGCACGTCAGCACTCTAAGCAATTCTTCTGCTCTTGGCCTCTCCGGTTTTACTTTGCAAAGTCATGACGGCGTCTGCTTTTGTTTGCAGTATTTCCCGTGTGTCGACGTGAGAAGGCAGCGATTGTATCGCCAAGGAAGTAACGATCAATCTGCGCATTTATTCCAGCGGCACAGCGTTTACAAACCGGACTTTGCCCTTCACCGAGGGGAAAGTCTACCGACTGGCCCTACAGTTGGCGAGCATTGTGCAGCCGTGAGCGCGTAACTTGTCCGAATGCTTTCGTCTGTATACAGTGACAAAATGACTCGCTGAAATGCGAAGTACCATACAGTACCATGCCGTACAGCAAACCATCGATCACTTGCTGCAGCAACTTTGCGTTTTAAGTCGTAATAATAAAGTGATTTTTAGGCTAAAATCATTTTTTCATACTGCTCAATTATTCGGAATTCTGCACGATCCCCATCGGGTCTGCAATATCGGTCGGTGGCTGTATAACCTTTAAACACAATGGTTACACACCACAGGTACCGGGGACCATGACATCAGTGAGCTGGCTTTCACCTTGTCCAAGGCAGCAGCGGAACACTACGGGCGGGACCCTGGATCACTGCACCATGGATGCCGTCCTGTACCCTGCACGGCACTGCGTGTGGCTTAAGTGGCCAAGCAGAGGGTCATTGCATGACTTTTATGAGGCGCCGCTAGCCATTGTAAGTACATTTTGGACACTCATGTCTGGTGATGTACTTTTGTGCTCTACCGCAGAGCACATTTGGTGGCGGTTCAGTCTTGCCAATTACACCATTTTGAAACG